GGGAAGGGGGGTTGGTGGGTTGCGGATTATATTATTATAAATATGCGGAGAACCAAGACTTAAGAAATTCACATTGTTTGAAAACGTAGCCCTCATACTCTATGCTTTAGAAATTTTCTACGTTTGCCCTTTTCACATCGATAACAGGGCCGTAGCCAKGGGGGAGCACAGGGTGCACGTGCACCCCCCATAAAAGCTTAAGGTCCGCTCATCTATCTCCTGCTTTAAAATTGCATGCAAATGCCTTTTGATTGAATGAAGACCACTTTCCATCTGCATATTGTAGCATTTTWAAGAATCATTCATCTGACTATTCCTTTTATTTTTTGCCGGTTCTGCAAATCATTCCCTGGGCAGCTCCCCTGCAACATCTCTAGTTACGCCCCTGCATAATTCAATATGGTCTCCGTATCGGTAAAAAGGTTTATTGTCGAACTATTCTCATGAGGGATTGAATAAAGGAAAATTTGAGAAAGACATTTTTAAGTTCGGGAAGCTTCTAATAGACCTCTTCGGCTCTGACGTAATGCTTTCCCATTTCAGACCACATGTCATTCCCTAGAGTATCATTTCCTTGTTTAAGGTTTACGCTCGGTTGCACATGAGAAGATACATGAATATGGATACAGCTCATACAAAGAATCTTATTCTCAATGGAATGACACGTGGTCTGAAATGGGAAAACCTGATTACCCCAAGCCGAAGAGGTCTATTAGGCGAAAATGCCGCCATGATGCAAATGATTTATCTTGACACTAAAAATAAGAGACATATTGGCACCAGTACACTGACTTACCGCAGTAAAGAAAAAAAGATGGAAAAAGAAGAAAGAGAGAGGAATGAAAGGGAAGGACGGAATGAAAGGAAAGGAGGGAGGCAGAAAGAAGTCATAATAAAACCAACACTACATTCACCAGTCAAATTCTAAAAAAAAGTCAATTACTGACTGGCAATTCATAATTGACTCTAGGTTGAATCTTAAAAATCACTGAATATTTTTCATTTATTCCATGGCTGTTTGTTTAATTTTCAGCTAGAAAGAGGATACAGCTTTTATTCAATACATATTGTTATGTGTGAATTCCTTTTTATGTCTTTTTTTTTTACCTTCTTAAAAGAAGGTTCAAACCTTTTGTTACGTAACATTTCCAGGAAGAACCATCTTTGATCAAAATGCCCGACGTCAATCAGCATTATTTCATATCATATTCCTTTTTTATCTTATTCTACATCTTTTGCAGATGATGATGTTTTTTTCTCTTAGGGCCATATTCATTAAGCTAGTGATGGTTTGATAATAGCCCTAAATGAATTGCCCTGAAGCTCAAAGCAAGCCCAAAACGTATTTGCGGCAAATTAGAATTTGTAAAGAATAATATGACTGGTACTTATTGCCTAATGTATTTATACCAGATGTCACCTAGCGCTGTCACAGACCAGATTATATAACTGGTACGGTGGCTTTTCAGTGTGATATTTTTAGTATTTTGGGTTTACATAAGTCGAAAATATTTATTTATATTAAAGTCGAAAATAAAGTTTAATCGGTATATTTTGTCCTTTGCAATTAAAATTCTTTAAAGTATGATTGTTGAGATCGACTCGTTTTGTCATTTGCCACACACGTTTGTTGTTGCTTGTAACTAGCTACCCCGTGGGCTCGGTTCGGTAGGATAGAACTGGATAGTGCTATCCAACGGATAAATCTTATCACCTAAAATTCCTGGAAATAATAATTAAAAAAAACCTATTGCGATCTTAACCCTTTAAATTTGAATGGATTTTTTCGCATGAAATGAGAGCGTTTTGTTGTGTAAATCATTTTCCCGCCAAACGACCAACGTTTTCCAGGAAATGTTTGTCATCTGCGAGAAGATTATTCCTGGAATTTGTACAATATGATTAATTTCTTTTCAATAAAACCCAAGGCTATATATCACTACAATGCATTCGGATTTAATAAGAAAAGCTTTTAGATAAGTGCTCGGTGTTATTGTCGAATAAATCATATCTTATTCAGGTAAGCTGACAGGTAAGGCCAGATATTTTATTCAATGAGCAGCGGGCGGTATCAGGCGTTGGAACTTTCTTGAAAAATCTAGAAATTTCCATTCAGCATCAAGCTATTTGAAAGGAAAAGAAAAAAATACATTAAATGACAGAATTACAGTCTTTTTGTAGTCTTTTCGAGGGAAGTTTAATGAATGTTCATTGAAAAGGCAAGAATTATACCAAGATAACAGGTTTTAGTTATTGTGTCAAGCGAGTCCGTCCATCACTCGTCGCTTCAGCTAGTGCGTACGTGCTGCCATATTRAAGAAGAGACAGCTTTGCACTTTAGTAAATCAGTTAAAAACCAAATAACAACTGATTGAAAAGAAACATTTCAAACAATCATATGGCAATGAATTAAAGAAATGGCAAAAGTAAAATTTCGATAGAATTGAAAAGTAATTTGAAAGATGTTTTCATAAATTATATGTATCTGGGGCATGCATATGCAGCGATATCAAAATCTAAACTATCCAGCTTTTAAAAATCTTCCGAGTTTAATCTAGGCGAAGTTAATCCGGCGAACACTCGGAAATCGAGTTCAATCGAATAAGGTTGATGAATCCGATTCCGAACATTCTGAACAAAATCGAAAACAATCGAATCTGTATCGTATCGAACGTTCGATTTTGTTGTCCGAGTGGAACCATTTTGTTGTGAATTCGACTGTACATGTGTTCGCTAATGGTTCGATGTCATCGCACGTTCGATTTTTGTTCGAGTATTTAAAAAAAATGAAAATTCAAGATAATTATTATGCATTTTTAGTGCAATTGTCGAAAAGATAAAATCAATTTTCAGCCATCATTCAAAATTCTGTTAAATATCGATTCATGGGCAAAATATTGTCATACATAGCATTTATGTTTGGAGATAATTGCCCTGAGTGCCGCGTGTTGAGAATAATTTCTAAAGCCGAAATCATGAACAGTCAATGCAAGTTACGTTAGACTTCACTCGAGAGCGAGTGTACGTGACTTCAGTGTCAAGACCAAATAATCCTTCTGTGACGGTGGGAACTAAATACGTACTTGTGAAGTATAATATGCGTAGGGTTTCCCAAGTAATTTTTAGTCAAAACTCTGCAACTTGTCTCGCAACAGCGTTGCGACACAATTTGCAGGAGTGGCGCAAAGTAGAAACGAATTCTGCATTTGGCAACGATTGCTGCAACTTGTTTCTCAACATTTTTCAAATTGCGCTGTGGGTTACACGCTGCAATGCTCCATGCAACTTGTGTCGCAACGCTTTTGCAACACAAGTTGCAGAGAAAATTGCTCCGTACGCGTGCTTTAAGCCGTTCACCCAGCTATGATCAGCATTGAGTGGTAAATGCATTAGACTTTTTAATTTTTTTCAGAGTAACTAGAGTTTTCACATAGAATCTCGTTTACGGCTATGTCGACCATTAAGAAATTCTTTAAAATCAGTAGAAAAGAATCGCAAAAATAGTCAAGTCAAGTAGTAGGTACCTGCCCTCCTGTTATTGTTGGTTACTGATACAGCAATAAAAAGGATCGACACTTCATAATTATAAATGGTTCTTTCAGCAAATGTATGTCAATAGTACCTCGATAATCCTTTATGGGCCAAGATTAAGCATAATTTATTAGGATATAAATAAGAAATTTATTAAGATATTTTTAGTAATGTACAATTAGGCAAAAGCTATTATTACAAAGGTTGTCGAAAACATTAGTAATGGATTCCCTTCTGGGACCCGTCATCACAAATGAACAGATTATGTTTGTTCTTTCCTTTGCTTCAGGGTTTTTCTCCGGTTCTCTAGTTTTCCTACCTCCGCAAAAATCGATCGACTTCTAAATTCTAATTGAATTTTTTTCACCTAGATTGGAACATGGCTCTCTTGCAATTAGTGTTCCACACTTTCCTTTGTATTGGGATAACTAGTTTATTTATAACCAGCGAAAAATATCAACGTCTGCCATTGCGATAGAGATATAAGCTATTGTTAGGGAAACACGGGTGGCGTAGCGGTGAGAGCGCTCGCCTCACCAATGCGACTCGGGTTCGAGTCCCGCTGAGCTCGGTGTCGTATGTGAGTAGAGTTGTTTGTTAATTGGTTCTCTACTGTTCTTCGAGGGTTCTCCGGCTTTCCTCCCTCCCGCAAAAATCAACTCCTAAATTCCAATTGGAATGACAGTGGATGAATAGCTACTCTGTAGAAATGCCACTGCTAAATCCCATTTATTTATTTATTTATTGTGTCACTATCAACCTCTTATTAACTTTATTTTGTTCATTTGGTGGCCTGGAAATCCATAATTTCAGGAGGAAAAGTGGCACTTCAGTTTTGCAAATTTTCTCGATTCTAATTGGCTAACATTTTAATCTCTCTCGGATCAGCTGGCTATGTGGTTTGAAGAATCAAACGGGAAAAAAATCGTGGCTTTTTCGCTGTCGTACCACATAAAAGGCGATCAAAATAATGAAAGTTGGAATCTATTACAAATTGGGAAAGACGTACGAGTAGCATATCATTAATAGTTTAGTCTCATCCCAAGTTAAAATCTTAGCATATTAAAATAGGGATTGTCCTGGGACAAACAGGAAAAACGACCACTAGTGATGAAAGAATGTGTGCCAATCCTTTTATTTCCCACGCATCCTAAAATAAAKAATCATGGTCCAGTGTCTTCGTTGTTTTTATGATGTGCCGTTGTGGATTCCGGTAAATATTATCTCATAAAAGAGCTAATGTCGAGGTGTAAACAGAAAGCTCCTAAACTCTAAGAAAAGAAACGAATCTCTCTTTAAAGGTCAAGATCTAAAAAGATAATTGAAAAAATAAAATAAATAGATTGAGTAAATTTCTAACATATCGTTTCAAAGGGTGGTTTTCATTAGAAGAGGGGCCAACCCACACACACCCACGCCAAGATGTAAAAAAAAAAAAAGACTGAACCTCGTATACCACAAATTTCAAATATCTTCGGTTATCCATCAATTTTTATTAAAAATACACTATGACCCATGATTCCTAGTCTAGTTTTAAATAAATGAACTTTTGTATAATAAAATATATATGTAAAAATATTTGATCTACGTACAAAATTAAGCAGATCATGCATATTAAAAGGATAACATTTTGTTTACTATGGGATGATAAGTGTTTTATTGAGCGGGGCCGGGTGGGAGGAGGAAGGGAGTGGGGGAGGTGGGCAATTGCCAGATCTTTATAGCTGGTATAGCCTTCCCCATTTTTACTCATTAAATAATTATGACCCTTGTATTGAGTCAACAAGGGAACAGCTTTTGTCAAAATAAAAAGGTTTACCCTCCACAAAAATTTTACTGGTGCACCAGCCATCCCCCCAATAAAAACCGTACCTTCCTTAATCATAAATACAGCGATGAATTAGGATTACTTTTTCTTTTTCAAAAACCCAAACATTCCTTTCTTTTTCTCGTGTTTTTTATCATCGTGGCTGTCCATAGGTTTGGGTTTGGGTTTAACAGGCGGTTTTGGCGGGAGAACGTTCGGCGAAAAGTCGTCTGAATCTCGGCTATCGGAACGATATCGTGCTTCCCTTGGAGGTGGAGGTGCACGTTTTTTTCTTGAAGGTCTAGAAGGCTGCTTACAAGCATCTGGTTTTGTTGGTACCAGAGGTGTAGGTGTGGAAGGAAGTCCTTCGCTACCACTAGACAAGTAAGCTGCTTCTTCGAGCCCTAAGCTTGGCGCAGGCTCTTTAGGGAAAGTACCAGGGGGTGGAGGGGCTTTGGGGTAATCAATCAAGTCGTCTTCATCTACTGCCCCCTCCTCGAGGTCTCCGAGGTCGAATGGCGGCACGTCGGGAGGCGGAATGCATGGAATGTCTGGGATCATATTATCGTTGAAATCTGTAGGGGCATCGGGGTAAAACTCCGGATGTATGTCCTCTTCGGATAATATATCCGTGTATTCGTCGGCGATATCTTCGGGATAAGTGTCGCGGTTGGTTTTATCGTGGTTTTTGTGTGTAGAGTCTGAAGTGTCTGGTTCAAAGTTGATATCAATGTCTTCTGGAACCACTGGAGGTGGTACGTCAGGAGGTAGTGCCGTGAATGATTCTAACAGGTCACCACCATCAATAATATCATCGTCATCATCATTTTCTTCACCATTATCATATATATTAACATTGTCAACATATATATTAACATTGTCATCATTCTCAATTGCTTCATCACTATCGAAACTCGTAACCTTGATCACTGGAGTCTGAGGGCGAGCGATTTTCTCATTCTTTACTGGGAAATCATTTGTCGTCGGAAGTAAATTTGGTGGTCTCGGAGATTGCAGACTTGGTCGCGAAACCTGTGAATGTTTCTCAATACATTTGTTTATCTCGCTAATCCATTGAAAAGAATCCTTTTCGCTTTTAGAATTGAACAAGAAAACGGAATCATTTTCAAGCTGTAAACGAAAAGCATTATTTCCCGACATGGCTTCGTCAAATGCAGTACAAGAAGCACCTTTTAGGTTAATAGCATGCGACGCATGAGTTTCTTGCCTTGATGCTCCACTTTTATCACTAAAAAACTCGAGTTTCCCATCTGCTAAAGTTGTATAAAAGGTTTTCCAGCCTCGAATCCCAGGTCTTTGTCCTCGTTGATCTAACTCGTGTTTTCTTTGAAGGAATCCTTCACAAATGTTATGGGCATCTTGTTGTGCCGGCGAAGAAGATTGCATGGAAAGCTGCTCTTGTTGAATTTTCGCTTCTTCAATGCGCTGTTCTTCTTCCAGCATTTTCCTTTTCTCATCTTCTTTACGTTTTTCTTCCAATATTTTCTTCTTTTCCCTGTCGATTCTGTTTTTTTCCCTTTCTTTTCTCTTCAATTCCTCTTGTTTAATTTGCAYATCCAATTGTTTCTGTTTTATTTCTTCGTCCCGTTTTTGTTGTTCTTGACGTCTTTTCTCCTCTTGTTGTTGCTCTTCTAAAAATTCTTTTCGCTTCCTCTCTTCTTCTTCTCGTAGGGCTCTTCGTCGTTCTTTCTCCAGCCGTTCTTTCTCCTGTTTCTTTTTCATCTGTCTTTCCATCTCTTTTTGCTTTTCCATTTCTCTTTCTTTTTTTATCTTAAGCTTTTCATTTTCCATCTCCTGATTTGTAAGCCTCGTCAGATCCTCAAAATGCTCGCCCTTGGCTAACAACATCTTTTCAAATTCATCTTGTTTCTTCAGTAGCTCTTCCACCGCCTCTAGAGAATCTCCTACATCTTCTGATAAAATATCAGAACCACGTGCATACAGCCAGCCCTCTAACTGGTCTGCCTCTCTTTTAAATCTTTGTACCTCTCTAACTTGTTCCAGATGGTCTTGTTTATTGTCAACGCTTTCCAACAGCCTAGACCACGCATCCTTGACACTTTGGCTCTTTTCCTTGATGTCTGTACTATTTGGGTGACCAGATTTAATCAACTTTTGAGCCGCTTCCTGGAATTCTTGTACACTCTTTTCGTGAGCAGCAACTTCTGTTCGATATTCCTGGTGTTGGGCAAAGAGTTTTTCTGCAGAAGCAAAGTCGGCTGCGACTTCTCTTGATGCTATGGAAGAAGCCATGGTGTCGATCCAAGCCCTGAAACATAAATGAAGTGTTAATATGATGAGGTCACTGAGGATCGGCCTATGGACCTCTTGCTTAGCAGGTAGCACACTAACCAACCAAGCAACACTTGCTCCTTAAAACAAGTGTGTGAGGTCATTGAGGATCAAACTAATATGAACCTCTTGCTTAGCAGACAGCACTCTAACCAACCAAGCCACACTTGCTTCTTAAAACATGTGTGTGAGGATCAAACTATGGAGTCTTGCTTAGACAGCAGCACACTAACCAACCAAGCAACATTTGCTCCTTAAAACAAGTGTTTGAGGTCACTGAGGACCAAACTATGGACCTCTTGCTTAACAGGCAGCACACTAACCAACCAAGCCACACTTCCTCCTTAAAACTAGTGCATGTATAAAGCGCCCGAAGTTGCGCCCTTTACCCCCTAAACTATTTGTACTCCTTATTAAAGCTAAAGCTACACAGAACGGAGACAAGTTGAAATCGAAATGGAGACCCTGAGAACTGAACTGTGGCCGAAGACCGCGTACTAACCAACTGAGCTACACCATGGTGTAAATTGCTTAAAGTGCTAGTAGCTGTAAAGTGCTTACAGCACAATTTTTTTTAAATAAAGAGCTATTTTTATGTGTACAATTACTACTTACATTAAGTCTCTGTAATCGTTGAGGAACGACTGCAGTCCCTCTGATTGGCTCAACACTGATTTCTTACTGGTCGCTCGTTGCTGCAGTTTTTGCCATGCCTCGATAATCATTTGTTTTTGTTCGGCAAAATGGTTTCTGTTCTGTGGCAGCTTGTCGATCAGCATGTCTGCATCTTGACTCAGGCTGCTCACTTTTTCACCAAGTGCTGTCAAATCGCGCTGAAAAATTTAACAAATGAATGAAAGGATGAAAGAAAGAAAATAAAACAAAGAGAAAGAAAGAAAGAACAAAAGAAAGAAACGAAAAGAAAGAAAGGAAGGAAGGAAAATGGGAGAGAGGGAGGGAGGAAGGAAGAAAGGAAGGAAGAAAGAAGGCAAGGACAAAAAAAAAAAAAAAAAAAAAAAAAAAAAAAAAAAAAAAAAAAAAAAAAAAAAAAAAAAAAAAAAAAAAAAAAAAAAAAAAAAAAGAAAAGAAAAGAAAAGAAAGAAAGAAAGAAAAAAAGAAAGAAAGAAAGAAAGTAGGTAGGTGGTACAAACATCTCCAAAGAATTCTTCCAACGTATCGTTTGGTCCTAGGGTATCATTTTTTTTTAACGATTTTTTAAAGGTTCAAAATCTGAACTAAGTTTTAAAAATAATTAAATTCAAACGACAAACAACCGCATACTTGAAAGCCCTCGTGTTTCCTTTGCAAAGCCTGCACGCTGCTCAAGTCAAGTGCGCCATCATCAGTATGCATCAGCGTTGCTTCCTTCTCCTGAATCCACGCATTTGTCTCCTCTACGTTACGGTTGAAGGTGTGCAAGTCCTTAGCTCGATCTAAAGCATCAAGGCGCTCATTCGTTCGTTCCTTTAGGACGTCCCATCTGGTACAAATCTGTTCCGCACGCTGTTCGATCGTCTAAATATAGAAAATTACTGTTATAAAGGGGTTTTGCGGTATATTTGAAACACGTATTTTATTTTGTATATACTGTAGATTCGATATTTGTGATATGCATCCCTTCCCATGAGAGTAAAAGGAGAAAAGACGTGTCCGCCATGTTGGTTCATGGACATGACAAAAGGCCCCAAGACCAAATCTTTTGTCAAAGTCAACCAAAATGGCGGCTATGACGTCGAATGCACCCCAAGAATATTGCAGACCAATAGACCTAATCTACTGTTTTCCAATTTCAGTCCACGTGTCATACCCTAGAGTATTATTTCTTTGTTTAACGGTTGCACGTAAGAAGACGCATGAATATGGATAAAGCTCAAACAAAGAATCTTATTCTCAAGAGAATGACACGTGGTCTGAACATGGGCAAAACATTATGCCCAAGTGAATTAGGTCTATATCAGGCCCAGAACTCTTCATTTCTATCTCCAATGCACAAGTTGGGATGAAAACAAAATTATACGTACCTCACTATCACTGTGTTCATCATTCAACAACTCCTGCGCATGCGCCGTAAGCTTGGCAACTCTCTCACCGGACATGACAAGGTCACGTGTAAATGCTTCGAATTTCTCCATCAACATATCCACGTGTTCGAGGTCACGCCCACAATCGTCTGACGTCACTATGGTTTCTTTTTCCTCGATCCAGGCTTCCACTTCATCTACCTCCCGTAAGAAGTTGAGAAGACGAGAAGATTCCAACAGACGCCGATGTCGATAAGAAGATATGTCGCTGAGTTCAGAATATCTGTCTTCTAGTTCTCTCTATGGCAAGGCAAATAGAATATCATAAAAACACGAAACATTGGTCCACGAATAGCTAACCCAAGCAGAAATCTCAAGATTAGCCACATGCGAAACATTGCTGCCTGCAACAACTTTTACTTCTAAGCTGCAAAACTGTTTCTGCTGTGCGGCAGAAACATTTCATGCTTCCAAGACGCATGGAAACAATATTTCTCGATGTTTCCTCGTTTAGCCACGAAAGTTACTTAGCAACCCTCGCTCTTTCTTGTCAAAACAAGATGGTAGCAACTTCTACTGTCGCCATTTTGTTACAACCATCGAGGGTCATTAAAAAGTGCGCATGCGCTAACCGATGTTGAGTAAACATGTTTCCCGATGTTTCCTGACAGTTTTGCCAACTTTGGAAACATGTTTCTGGAAACATCGTCTAGGGAGGGCGAAAGAAAGAAAGTAATGAACTAAAAACATGCAACTCTTCATGTTTAATTTGCTTGACAAGTACCTGTCGTTGTTTAACGTTCTCTGCATCAAAGTTTTCCCCCAGGACCAGAGTATTACAGAGACTTCTCAGCTCGTCAATCTTTTTTCCAAATCTTTCGAATTCAAGCTCCAGCATTTCGTGTCTACGTAAGAGAGCCTGGGCACTAGTCTCGTCGCGTCCGTAATCTTCGTTGGAGACAAAGGGGAGTTTCTCTTGGACCCAGGCTTCTACTTCTGACACTTGAGAATAATACTGGAAAACGATGGATACAGGATATATCAGTGATATAGGAATCAAACACACAAACACATAGATAGCCCTTGTTTTATGAGGGTAGCACTAAGTAGATGGATACAGGGTACGTATATCAGTGATATAGGAATCAAACACACAAACACATATATAGCCCTTGTTTTACGAGGGTAGCACTAAGTAGATAGATACAGGGTACGTATATTAGTGATATAGGAATCAAAAACACAAACACATATATAGCCCTTGTTTTACGAGGGTAGCACTTAATAGATGAATACAGGGTATGTATATCAGTGATATAGGAATCAAACACGCAAACACATATATAGCCCTTGGGTGGCACTTAATTCATAGTCCCGTCTCAGACAACCAATCACCGTTGAAGCAGTTTTCCCAATTGAATTTTAATCTTGTCCCTCAAACAACTACACAGTATTCGTTTTAAAGAGTATTGTAAAATTGTAATGAGGGTCTAAGCAAATGCAGCTTTAGAAATCAGGTCACATGAATGACGTGTAAACCCGATGCAAACCTTACACTAGTGGAAATATACAGTTCTAAAACAGCAGTAGCGATTGTATCTATGATTAGCACATGAATTAAAAATATATCCCAAAGGATTTATGGATTATTGGTGAATTTCACAAGAGAATGAAACGTGATCTGAAATGGGGAAAACAGTTTAATAATAAAAGCCCAAAGTGAAGAGGTCTGTCCGATAGTAAGCTAATGTCTTTCCTTCACCTAGTGACGCATTTCTTTTTCTAATTTAATACCAGAAATTTCTATTTTTATTTTTAATAATGTTTTAAGATAAAGTGTTGCCACAAATACTCTCCGCCTGTAGTTATTTTGAGGAAACATGAGCCAAACAATACCAATAAGTGCTTTAAAAATTTGAATATAAAAGGTCTTTGAAACAAGAATTAAAGTTATAGTTTTTGTTAATGGGGCGGGCTTTGTTTGTGGTCGCAAGTCTGATGGCCATCTAGATGATCGAGGAACCTTTATTCTGACATGCAATAAACCTCGAGATCTACTAGAATGGACCAAATCTCCTTGGAAGTAATATTTTGCCCATTTTCAACCAGCTGTCATTCTCTCGAGAATAAGATTCTTTGTTTGAGTTGTATCCATATTCATGTGTCTTCTTACGTGCAACCGTTAAACAAAGAAATGATACTCTAGGGAATGACATGTGGTCTGAAACATTGCGCCCAAGGTGAGTTATACCGCAAACATGATCTGGATAAACAAAGTTGGCTGGAGCAATCGTAATTTTGTTTCCCCGTAGTCTCGTTTCTGCCCATATTGTTAGTAATCAATCAATCAAAATATCAAAAATTGTTGTCTATCTTCAACGTAGTCCAATAGTACTTACCTGCTGTGTGGCGAGTGACTCTTTCAGTTTTGYTTTCCTAATTTGCGTCAGACGATGAAATTCATTCCATGACGTTTGTAGTTTACTGGAATGTTCCATGATCACACCACTGGCGTAATGCCCACGCGTGATGACATCATTGGCCGTTGCCATGACAGCCTGGACCAGTTGTTCGTGGGTCGTGAATTCGGCTTCAAACGCCTCGTGTTTCTTTAGAAGGTTTTGGACTCCTAGAAAAATATAGAGAAATAAAATWAAAAAAATTAGAAAGCCTATAAAGGAACTACAGCTCAAGTTATTTTCTCGTATCCCGCGAAGCCACCACTAACGATGTATTTGGCTCGGTTGGTTGAGCATCGTGACTTTCAATGACGTCACAGAAATACCAATGGTAACCGCCGCTGGTAGTTCTTGGGCCAGCTGTACATTAGTCAACATGGCCGTCTGGAATCTTCATTGAATTATTTTTCTCGATAAAAACTTTTAATTTAAAACAAAAAGGCAGCTGTATATTGATTACTGCAACGCAACTCACGCAATTCAGTTAATTGCTTTGTGGTAAGCAATGTTATTTGGCAACGACCCGAAAACAGACAATCTGTAAATACAAGATATTTAAAAGGCTATAATACAAACCGTTTAGATTGTGTCCATAATCTTCTGAAGACACTAACGATTCTTTTTCCCGGAGCCAATCAGTCTCTGCCTGGGCGTCATTCAGGAACTGGTGTAGAACCAGGCTGTCTTGAAGCTTTTCTTTTCGTTCTGCAGCCGGTGAGGAAAGTTGATCAAATCTAAAATATAATAATAATAATAATAATGAAGAAATAAATACATGGGGAAAAAAAGAACCTTTTATGTGCATGCAGGGAATAAAACGGAAATAAGAAAGAGAAAAAGAAAGGAAGGAAGAGCGAAAGGAAGGAAGGAAAGAAAGAAGGAAGCAAGCAAGCAAGCAAGGAAGGAGGCAAGGAAGAAAGAAAGGAAGGAAGGAAGGAAGGAAGGAAAATTTGTGTTAAACCTTTCAGCAACATCAGCTGCTCGTTCGCCAATCTCTTCCTTCTGAAAGTGTCCCGCTTCCTCGAATTCCTCTGCCTGCTGCAGCAACTCACGCACGCGATCCTCGTGATTCACGATGCCTTCCTCTAACATGCCATGCTTCTTGATCAAATTCTTGACACTTTTCAGGTCTTTACCGTACTCCTTGATTGCCAAAGCATACTCTATCTCATCTATCCATGTTTCCAACTCGGTGACATTTCTTTCAAACGTCTGTTTTTGGATCGCTTCTTTTAGTCTTTTTGCTTTGTTAGCCGAGAGATCTTCCAGTAAAGTCCAAAGATCACTGAGGTCTTTGAGTCTCTTCTCTACAGTTTCACAGTGGGTTGGAGAGGTATTAATAAGACAGTTGCCATCTTTTATCACACTTTCTAGTTGTCCTCTGTTGGCACTCACTTCTGCTTCGAACGTCTGGTGTTTTTGAAGCTTCAGGTTCAGGTGTTTTGCTTCTCTGTAAGAAGCTTCAGCTGCTGTTTGGAGTTTTTCATTGATCCACGACTCAAGCTGATAAAAGAAAGAATATTGGTAATAAGGTGCGATTACATAGAACAATTTTCTCTGTAGCTTGTCTAGCAACACCGACACAAGTTGCAAGAGTATTTACACGGTGCAACGGAGACGCAATCGTTGTCAAGCAATTAAAAACGAATTCTACTTTGCTGCAACTTGTCTCGCTTTTTTTTCAAATTGCGCTTGAGGTTACACACTGCAATGCACCATGCAACTTGTGTCAAAACGCTGTTGCGAGACAAGTTTTAGGGAAAATTGCTCCGTGTAATCGCGCTTTAGTACCTCGTTTAGAGAATACCCAACACAAATAGACCCTGTCAAACGTTGAGCTTGTGAGACATAGCTAATACTGACCTCTTTCGCATCTCTTAGGAACTGGAAAAGTAACTTAGATTCTCCCAGTTGTTCGCTCTTCTCTGCCACCATTCGTTTCAGCTTGGCCCACTTGTCCAGAACTTCATCTCTTCGACTTGTAATAATGTCAGAGTCATAATGCGCCTTATTTATCAACAGCTGGGCTGAGGTTTCAAGGGATTTGATGCTTTCCTCATAAGCAGCAATTGATTTCTCAAAATTGACTTGGTTTTTTAGCAGAGATTCTACAGTGTCGAGGCTGTCTTTTGATTYGTTGTCTATCGCTACAGCTTGTTTGTTTGTTATCCAGTTATCAGCTTGCTCTGCACTAGCAAGGAAAACCTGCAGAACAAGTCGCAATAAATAAGATTAAATAGAAATAGACTCCAAAAACATTTTCAAAATACTTTTTCCCCTTGTGAGATACTTTCGATTTCAAGTTACGAAGCAGTTTAAAGTTTGTTTGCCATCCAGCAGAGCCTTCCCCAAGGAACCTTTAGCTGAATTGATTCGTTATCAAAGTGATGTATCAGCACGTGGTTGTTTGTTGCAGATGGCCTATTAATATGCAAACATGGTCCTCTATGCAGCAGAGATGAAAGGTGATACGTAGAGTCTTACCTCTAACTCATAAGACTGCTGCAGCATCTGTTGTCTGTCCACCCACAGTTCCTGCAGCTTTGAGTTCATTTCTTTCAGGTTCTCATTGTCTTCCTGTACCTCTTCAGCGAAGTTGTTCTGAGCGATCAGAGTTAATCCAAATGCAAGCGTTGCGTTTATTGTCTCCTGTCGAGCCTCTATTTCGCTCTATAAAGAATAAAGTATCAAGGTATATTGAAACAAATAAATAAAATGGGGATCTAGCAGTGGCTTTATTGTCTCCTGTCGAGCCTCTATTTCACTCTATAAAGAATAAAATATCAAAGTATATTGAAACAAATAAATAAAATGGGGATCTAGCAGTGGCTTTACACAGACATAGTGGGTCTTCATGCACTGAAATTCCAATAAAAAATTGTAAAATTTGATATTTTTTTTGCAGCGGAGTCAAAGTCGGAAGCAGTAGGTCCATTGAAAGTCTCGTCATAAGAATAAGAACAACCCAAGCAAAAGGAAACCATCCCACTTCTGACTCCGATTTCGTCGCAAGTAAAAACTAGGCCTTAGACTGACACATTCGGGATCGTGTCAGAAGTCAGCTAAATAGAAGTATCACAGCCTGAACGAGTTGACTACATGAAAAGTACTAACATACATAACTCACTTTTCTTTCCTTGTGCAAATCCAACAAGGCCTGCGCATCTTGCACGCTCTTGGCCAATTCCCCGGATGAGATCTTGGAGGCGAGGTCGCTCATCCAAGACATGACGTCACGATAATCGACAAGGAAAATTTGACGCAATCGATTGGCTTCGAGTTGGCTTTTCCTGCAAAAAACCCACAACTACCTCATTATTTGTAAATAGAAATCAGGGACAATGGTCCCTCGATATAAGAGAATACAGCTAACGGACTATGATGACAGCTATGGATAGCTAGGAAAAAAATCGAATTCACAGGAAAATTCAATCCCTTTTATGTAAACCTTGGTGTAAGGCCTTATGCGCAACCGAGCGCGAAGAGGTTAGGTGAGGTGAGATTTAGTCTTCTCTGCAGCCGTCATTAGTTTCGGTCCCAGATCCTCACGGGCCCAAATGTTACCCTTTTAAAAAATTAAGATTTCATGTTAATTTATATGTTTTATTGTTCTCTTCTCCTGCCATCCAAAAAAGACCTTTTTTGAGTTCTAAATTACCGCTGTGTTCCTTGATTACAGACTCATTTACTCATAAATAATATTCACAAACACCAAGAGTAAAAAAAAAAAGAATGCACAACTTCAACAATGCAAACACTTTGACATTCTATGGGCCTTCACAGATCAAGTTAATATTCTGCAGGCTAACCCTGAGCAACAGAGAACTAGAAACTGGAGTAACAGCGTTTTGCACAGATGACATCATAATTGTGCATCATGAGATTGAAATGCAGACAAGCCAAGCCAATCGCCCATGCTAATATGTTGCAACAATGTTTTGTAGTCTCATTGTTTCCATTTCATGGAAGAACTATGGCTTTACGGCTGTTACTATTCATCTTTTCCTTGTAATCGAAGCCTATATTTGCAATGTTTGTCCGCATTTCGATCCCAGAAGGCTTTGCAATATCTATGTTTAGTAACCTTAAAAAATGCTATTCCTGCCGTCTAGTGATCAACCAACCCTTTGACCCTCGATTACAATTGTTCTTCATTACCAACCTCTCATCAAATTTGTCATTCAGTCGTTCCCAGTTCTCTATGATTTCAGTCTGTTTATTTTGGACGGTGCGAGCCATGTGAGGCTGGGAACGAACTAATCGATGAGCCTCGTTCTCAAGCATCTCCATTTTGTTCTCAATGACTGTCAGAGCTCTTTCTACGTCATCATGTTTACGAATGAGAGCCTCGACGCCAGGTAGATCACGACCCAAATCATTAGTTGACAGTATTGCGACCTGAAGAACAATATAAAAAACTTGGTAAAGACAAACATCATAAGAATTCATAGGGAGGAAAGAGGCGAGCTAATTGAGCTTCTTCCGTCAACACAACGGAAAACAATAAAAAAAGCATCTAATTCTTCAGTTTTAATTTTTTTTTTTTTTTCTGCTGAGGGGGGCTTCAGCCCCCCTTCCCCCCTTCCCCCCTGGATCCGCCCTTGGGGCCGGAAGAAACCTCAGAAAGAAAACCAACCAAGTCAGCTCATATGGGGCGCCTGGGATTCGAATTGATCATATTAGCTAGCTCAACATATTAGCTATACCTTCTCATTGATCATATTAGCTATTTCAACACAGCTTTGATCAAATGCATGGATCTCACAAGCTTCCGCCAGTCTCTGTCTCCTCTCGCTCGCTTTGTCTTGAAGTGCATTCCATCGCTCGTTAAGCGCTTGTTGTCTGCGGTAAATTAGATCACCTCCAGCATGGCCCTGGTTTATTAGCTTATCTGCTAAGTGATTGATGGTGTAAACTCGGTCTTCTTCTACTGCAAGGTCTTGGTCAAACTCATTCATCTTTTTCTGCAAGCGAATGCAGTGGTCGTAGTCTCTGCCTATGTCTTCTGATGAGACAATGGCTTCCTAGTGTGAGATAAGACGTGAAAAAAGGATGGATGTTACATGGGTATAAGAACATATAACACAAGGATGATAAATGGCTGGCTGGGTAAATTAATAATCAATCAAAACCGGCAATGATAAAAGGATGGATGGATGGATAAGAGAATAATGGTCGTATAAATGGAAGGGGGACTGAAGAAGTAGATGAGATGAATGGATACAAGTAAAGATTCCTTGGATGGGCGCATAGTGATAATTTGATGTATTCAAGAAACAGTTAATGACACATTTATTCAATAAAGCCCATCGTTGCTAATAAGTGACACTAGATTTTTATGATATTCTTTTAGATTTTCTTAGAATCCTTCTAAGATATTCATTATATATTACTATGGTTGCTTATGACAGTTAGATGCATCCTCCTCCTCCTCCTCATTATTCTTATTGTTATTACCATTATCATTGTTATTATTATCATTATTAATGAATAAGCAAACTAATGAATAAATAGATATACATATCCTCCCATACCTTATCTGCGATGCACGAGTCCGCGATGTCCACCTCTTGATTAAACATCTTGTGGTCCCTAGCTTCTTCCAGCTTTTTCGCCTTGTTCTCAGACGCCTCAAGTAGTTCTTCCCACTGAATATATAAAGACTCAATCCGGGACTCCACTTCATTGGCAGCAAAATGCCCGGATGATATCAACTCTTCACCATTCCTCTGTACAGCATCGATAACACCCCTATGTGCAGTCAGCTCTGCTTCGAAAGCCTGATGCTTTTGGACTTTACTTACAAGGTTTGACGGATCTTTATAACATTCATCTAAGGCTGTTTGAAGTTTTTCAACTATCCAAGATTCCGCCTTAAGAAAAATATTGATCATAATATTAGACAATAATTTCAGTAAGCTATTTCTCATTTCGCATATGTGGGAAGATTTTCTTTACGTTTCTGTACGAAACCAAACAAAGACGCGACAAAATATCTGCAATTAGACAATACATTTTTGGTTTTGTTTTAGGGATATATGACGTGCACTCTATTTTGGACCATTGTTTTGATCTTATTGTCTAAGTTTATTCCCCGATAAATAGTTTGCAAGGTTATTTTCTAATAGCCCCTTTCACAGGTCCCTGCGACATCTTGAAAGATAGCCGTGCCTCGAAGCGAGACGAACGGTGAGCTCGAGACCTTTTTTTAACACCTTAAGATTATTCACATGTATCTATCATTGCAAGCTCACCGCTCGTCTCTCTTCGATGCAAAGGCACGGGCTACCTTTCAAGATGGCGCAGGGAACTGTGACGGGGGACTATTCAAATATCCTCACCTCAATTACATCTTGATAGAACTGAGAAATCTTCCTCGAGTCTTCTAGCTTTACTCTTCTTTCTCGTAGGTCCTTTTTCAGCTTGTTTCTTCTTTCATTGATGACAGTGAGTCGTTGACTTATCATACTGGAATCCTTATGTTTACTTTCGAGTAGTTGTTTGCCGAAGGTATTGAGAGCATTGACCTTTTCGTCCTGCGAGAGGACCAGCTTTTCTACGTTTTCATGCTTCTTGAGGAGAAAATCTACTTCATCAACGCTGTTGCCGAGCTCAGCTTTTGCAAGAACAGCCTGTAGAACAAATAGATCACCTTTGATTAGGGTGCCAAAAGAAACTCCAATATCATTGAACCCTGAAACAAATGATCTCTGGTCTGAACAAGTCAGCACACCGCGGCTAACTCACAGTTCGAACCCTGAAACAACCTCTGGGCTGATCTAAGTCAGGGCATAACTATCTCACAGAGCGAACCCTGAAACAACCTCTGGACTGATCTAAGTCAGGGCACGGCCAACTCACAAATCGAACCCTGAAACAGCCTCTGGGCTAAACTTAGTGAGAGCACGGCAACCTCGCATATCGAATTGGAACGATAAATACCTCTTGCGAACTGTAAAGCGAGTCAACTTGTCTGGCATCCCTTAGGAATACATGTAGATCACAGGCCTGGTCTACTTCTGTTTTCCTGTCGTCCCAAGTGGCGTATAAACTCTCTCGTTCAGTCAGAAGCAGCTCCAACCTCTCTGTCAACTTTTGTAATGAGAGGAGAAAACATGAAATCTTTTGTTTGAATATGTTGGTCAATGTCAACATTGGAAGGTTTTTCCTTAGTTAACGAATTAAACATTGTACTGTACGTACGACATTCATTCATCCATTCATTAATGTCTTCAAGTAATTCATATCCATTGATATTATTGATTCATTAATTCATTTAAAACCATTCAATCATTTATTCCTTCCTTCCTTCCTTCCTTCCTTCCTTCCTTCCTTCCTTCATCTATTCTTTGTTCGTTCCGCGTTCGTTCGTCGTTCGTTCATTCATTCATCCTCTCCTTGATCTAGTTACCTCTTCGCTAGCAAAGTGACCATCTTCGATCATCTTCTCCCCAGTCTCCAACAACCGAGTAAAAGTTTCTTCACGTGACTCCATAACCACGTGTTGCTCTTCCAGCCGACGTAGCATAGCCTCGGCATCGGACAGGTTGTGGATTGGTTCATCGGAAGAGATGACGCGTCCCATATCAATACACCACGTGACCTGATCGCGAATCTAATTTGACCAACCATCATAAAAAAGCAGTTAAAACTTTACCTTGGGATCAATATGCCATCCGATTTCAGACCATGTGTCATTCCCTAGAGTATCATTTCTTTGTTTAATGGTTGCACACGAGAAGACAAATGAATATCGATACAACTCAAACAAAGAATCTTATTCTAAAGAGAATGACAAGTGGTCTGAATTGAGACCGTATTACGCCCTATTATATCTTCAGCGGTTACTTACAGAGCTGTAGAGTTTATGAAACGTAATGTTGTCACGCAGTTTGTGGTGTACGTGCATTTTTTGTCAACGGTTACTCACAGAGGTGGTGAGTTTGTGTAACGCAATGTTGTCACGCAGCTTGGTTTTTGTATTCCTCATCAGCGGTTAATCATAGAGTTGTTAATTTCTCATCAGCCGTTACTTACAGAGTTGTTGAGCTTGTGTAACGCAATGTTGTCCCGCAGTTTGTGTTTCTTTCTGGAGGATTTTCGTTTCAGTTCTTCCCACAAACCAAGTAAAGACTGCTCGTGGTTTTGAATTGTTTGAGCTGTTTGACCTGGGAGTGAAAAGGAAGGAAAAACAATGAATGAATGAAAGAAAGAAAAATGAATGAAAGAAAGAAAGCGGTAATTTGGAAGGTCGAAAATGTTTCTTGTCTGCCTACCTTTATATGTGTTTTGAAGTCGTCTTGATTCAGTTATCAAAGTCTTGACTTGTTGTTCTACAGCCACCAACTCACGCTCAAAAACATCGTGCTTGCGCTGTAGAGCCTGGGCACTAGCAAGGTCTCGCCCCAGGTCATCAAGGGTGAGGTTGGCATCCTTCTCCTGTATTCGACTGATCAGTTCGTTCAAGTCTCGGTTAAAACGGTGGATTTCAGCTGCGCTTTTTAAGCGTTTCTTTCGTAACTCGATCTGGTCTTGAAGTTGAGCCCACATTGATCTGGTAATACAAATTAAAATAAAAATTATAATTCAGATAAAAGAGTGTTCATATCTTTAAAATGCGGAACAAATTTTGCATCAATGCTGCGATAAGAAAGAATTCAGTTTCCCAGGGGGAAAAGACTCTTTTGTTGTGCCTCCTGTCATGGCTGCCATCATGTGATGGTGCAAAACCTCTATAGCTGGTTAGGTAAACCTATTATGTGCGTTCATTAGATTGAGTTTTGTATGGCAATGAAAATGCGCGGCACGAAAGAGGTCACATGGCATTTTAGTAGTGGTAGTAAAATGACGCCATCATGCAAACGGCCTATCGACGTTATTTTTTGAACCCTGAATACAAGCATTAAGATTTCCAGCTTTCAGGTGGCGAGGACACGGAAACTTCACGGCCACAGAAGGGGATGTTCACAGTCATACACGAAAACGTCTTTTCTCATGTAAATCAGATTAGAACAGATTCAATTGCTACTGCCTCTTGTTATGGCTGCCATCATGTGATGGTGCAACGCTTCTATTGCGTGGATATGATTTGTGTGAATAAGTAAATGAAACAGATTTACTGCTGCCAAGAATATTGCCAGATCTTACACATTTTTAATTTTCTTAATACATTATTAGGTAATAATGAAGAGAAGAAACAAGGATGTGAGGAGGAAGCAAGGAAGGGGGGAACGGTGGAGGAAGGAATATATCGAGAAGGAAACGGGGGAAAAAAGGGGTGAAGGAAGGGAAGAAAGGAACACCGCAAGGAATCGAAGGAAAAAAGGAAAAGAAAGAACGGAAATTTAAAAGGAAGAACGAAAGGATGGATGGGAAAAAAGTACCTGAAACTAGGAAGTTTGTTCTGAACGTTGTTGCCATACACACCTCAATATATCTTGCTGTTCTTTAATAGCTACAGTGTCTGTGTGTCCCTCGGCTACAAGTTTCTTGGCCAGGTTATCTACAGCCCGATATGTTTTAGTGTTTGCACCAACGCTTCCTTGGAAGTCATCAAATTTATTTTGAACAGTCTGAACATAACGACAACAGAAATAAGTCAAGAAAGCAAAAACTGACCAATTTACTGCTAATGAATAAACATCTTTGTTTTAAGACCAATTTAATTGAGCTTGACATTTGACTCAGCCGGTCGAACTTAATTAAATGAGTCGATCCGATGATACAGTTTGGTACGGCTAACTAAGTTCGTCGTTGGACCTTAGCCTAAGTTGGTAGGTGGATCGATATCATTTTTACAGCAACATCATAAGGCCAATCAACAAAAACCAAGCATTAAAAAACAAACATTCAGGACATTCAAACCTCTAGATGTTCAAAATCTTTGCCATAGTCTTCAGAGCCCGCGATATGCAGTTGGTCGTTTATCCATTCAGCGGTTTCGTCCACTTCACGCATGTAGTGGTGTAGCTTCTTGGATTCGTCAAGTCTCAAGCGCCGTGAGCTTACTAAAGTCCTCAGACCTGATAACTGCTCTTCGAGGTCCCTCTGAGAACGATCAAAAAATAATTTGTTTTATTCAAGAGACCATGAATCATGGTAAATCCATGGAAACGCCTCAGTATGGGAATAAATAATGGACCGAAACATTACAGTAGATTTAAATCAACGTACCTGCATYAATTTCACTTTATTCGCATCAAAATGGCCACTCTCCACCAGTCTCCTCGCGTCCTTCCCCAGATTTGTGATGACGGTGCTGATTGACTCGACATCGGTCTCCAGAGCTTTGTGTCTTGTCAAGAGCTTCTCAGTAGCTGCGTCATCTTTGCCGTAGTCCTGGCTTGCTGCTAGACCTGCTTTGTCGTTCATCCATGAATCAGCTTCATTTGCCTCGGCGAAATACTGGAAGCAATATTTAATATTTTACTATTTGAGTGCCATTGATAAGGACGGCACTTTTCATTCAATTTTCATTCAAAAGACCTCTTCACCTTGGAGGTAATGTTTTTTCATTTCAGACCATGCGTGTCATTCCCTAGAGTATGATATGATTGGTTTTAAGGTTGCGCACGAGAAGCAAAAAGGATCGTATTTTCAGGATAATGACACATGGTCTGGATTAACTGGGAAAACATATATTTACACCCAGACGAATAAGGTTCACAAACTCCTTGAAACAACCGCTGGCTAACTCAGATTGAACCCTAAACAACCTCTAGGCTGATCTAAGTCAGGGCATGGCCAACTCACAGATGGAGCCCTAAATCAACCTCTGGGCTGATCTAAGTTAGGGCACGGCTAACTCACAGATTGAGCCCTGAATCAACCTCTGGGTGGATCAAGTCAGGGCATGGCTAACTTAGATCGAATTGAAAATTGGGTTGTTACGTTTTGTGGAGCGAAGCAAAACCGGAGAACTCGAAGAGAGCTACCAAACAAAATATATTCCATGTGATGCCAGTTCAAGAATTCGAATCTAATCCGAGACCCCAGAGGTGAGACGCGAGTGCACTACCGTTACMTACACTACCCTTGATTCCCTCGGAACACAAAGCATTTATAAAAGGCTCTTACTCACTTTCTGTGATTCATGTGACTCGTCAAGTTTCAACTTCCGGTGAGCTGTAGCCTCCAACAGCTCTCCCCAAGCCGTCCTTAACTCATCAATGCGTTCCTCCACTTTATCTGACGCATGATGACAGCTGTCAATCAAATCCTGACCACGTGTTAACGCCGATTTTATTTTCGGCTCATGATTGGTCAACTCGTTCTCAAATGCTAGGTGTCGTTTTTGAAGCCGTTGGACAGACACTAAATTAGATCCCAGATCCCCGGAAGTAGCAAGCTGCTCATGTTCTCGTACCCAGGCCATCTCCATTTCAATGTCGTAGAAAAGCTGGTTCAACCCGAAGGAATCCTCGAGTTGCGCTCGACGACTGGATGAAAGACTTTTTAAATCTTTGAATCTGTAAAGGATAAAGGATCAATAAAATAACTTTAGTAACCATCAGATTCTTGTGTTTACATGATAAAATAAAATGAAAATGAAAATATAACATTGAGGGGGGGAGGGGGGGTAGAGTCTGAGAACATATGTATGTGATATAGTGAGAACGATTACCTTTTAAGACTGTCTTTCATAGTACGTTGAATGTCTTTCGCATTAAAGTGGTTATCATCTATTAACTCCTGTGCTTGTCTGCTAAGAGCCTGGGCCTCAGTCACGTGGACCTCAATGTCTGCCTCGACTAACTGATGCTTTTTCAGTAAAAACTTGACACTTGATAAGTCTCGTCCCAGGTCCTCAGATCCCAGTAAGGCCTCGACATCATGCATCCATTCAATAAAGTCGCCCAGAGATCTGTTGAACTGCATTTGTGAATGTGCTTGGTGAAGCTTGCAGCCCTTGCTGGAGGAGCTGGCGAGTAGCTCTTGCCAGTCTTGGTTCAGCGTTTTGAGCCTCATTTGAACTTCTTTAGAACCAAAGTGCTTCTTGTGGATGAGATTTTTACCAACCTGAAAAACGTATGTACATGAAGCATGAAAAACAATTTGATATAATACCACAATGATACAACGTACATTCAAAGATGAAACCCTGAAACAACCTCTGGGCTGATCTAAGTCAGGGCACGGCTAACTCAAAGATGAAACCCTGAAACAATCTCTGGGCTGATCTAAGTCAAGTCACGCTTACTACCAGATGAACAACCTCAAAAACAAAAAACAACCTCTACGCTGATACAAGTCAGAGCTAGCACGGTTAACTCACAATTGGAATCGAAATTCAGCCCAGGAACAGAACTCAAAACCAAAGAGGTGAGAAGCGAAGAAGCGAAGAAGCGAACGCACTATTGCTTATTATCAATCACGTTACTTTTTGGAGTTGACTAGGGGGCAAACAAGTGGTTGACTGAAGGGCAACTAGCGGATGTTAAGTCRAAACATGTCAAAATAAGTCCTCTAGCTATTGTATTTGACTATTTCTACGACATGAAACCAGAAAACAAGAGATCAAAACAACCTACAAGATTCTACAAGCCATTAAAAGCGCAGCTATTACCAGCATTATTGCATTATTAAAAAACGCAGCTATTATTTCTCTACCATTGTTCCCCACATCTCCTTACCGTATTGATGCGGTCGATACCATCTTTGTTTGCTGTAATTTCAGCCTCGAATGCCTCGTGTCGTTGTAGTTTTCCCTGGATGTTTTTAGGATCTCGATAAGACTCATCAGTCGCGATCTGTGACTTTTCGAAGATCCAAGCCCCAAACTAAAACAGGCAACAATTAACATAAACCAACAATAGAAAAGAAAAAGATGGAAGGAAGGAGGGAGGGCCTTCGCGCCCACGGGGCCCGGGGGGAGGGGACATGTTTTAACAATAGGTAACAACAGACCCCTTGTAGCACGTCGGAATGCAGCTTAATTTGGAGGACATACGTTTCCAATTCTCAGGAGATTGAAATGCTTATGTTTTGTCCTCCAAATTGAGCTGCTTCGACGTCCCATTCGAGGGGTCTATTAAATATTCATTTTTTTGTGATCTTGTGTTACAAAATGACTTTGTCCCTTGTCAGTGTTTCAAGGCTTGCTACAGAGTAAGGAATGCCCGAAAGAAGGAAAGATCTTAGAGGAGGAGGGATGAAAGGCGAGAAGCCTGGCGAGCGAGGGTTGTCGTCCTCCTTACTCAAATCATTCTAAAGGTTGCTTTTAGTGATTTGGTTTTTTAGATACCTCGTCAGCATCCCTTAGAAAATTCTGTAGTAACTGAGACTGGATCAAAGATTCTCGTCGTTGTCCTGCGTGATGTTTGACGGCCTTCCTTCTTTGTACCACTTCGTCTCTACGCTTTGAAATCCTACACTCGGTCAACACAAAGCATTGTTAAAAAAACTTAAAAGAATAAAACTACTTTTTAACAACCTGGGTTTATAGGTAAACGTTACCTCTAACTCTCCTCTAACTTCAATTTAACGAATAGTCCCTTCACAGTTCCCCGCGCCATCTTGAAAGGTAACATGTCTGKGCATCGAAGCGAGAATGACCTCGAAGGTTAATAGTCCCTTTTGGAGTTCCCTGCGCCACCTTGGACAATTATTCACATGTCTCTATCATTGCAAGGTTACCGTCGTTCTTGCTTCGAGGCACAGGCCCGATTAGCTTTCAAGATGGCGCTGGGAACTGTGAAGCCGTATTTAGTCTTCACGAGTGCGGTTGTTGTGAACCTTGTTGTGAACCAAATTTTAACGACACCCAGAAACAACCCAGGCTACTCAAAGTAAATGCATGGCTAATTCTCAGATMGAATTGCAATTTAGTATGTTAGATTTGCGGAGGGATACCAGAGAAAATCCCTCAGATCAAGGGAGACAGACACCTGCATGAAAAATCTCTGCTCACATGTGATGATGCCAAGCTCTCTTTTACTTCTGTGCAATGTATTCCCATTTCAGACCACGTGTCATTCTTTTGAGATTGTTCGTTTGAGTCGTATCCATATTCATGTGTCTTCTCATGCGCAACCGTTAAACAAATAAATGATACTCTAGGGAATGGCACGTGCCAAAGCTAAAGTGGTCTATTGAACCCGAGATCCCAGATGAAAGCAAGTGGCACTATCTCTACGCCACCCTTGATTCCCTCGTGTTAGAATTCGCGATTAAAATTTTTTTTAAATCAGGGGCAAAAAATATATATTAGCAACAGAATATTATGAATCCAGGAGTGTTGTTCAACTGTATAATTTCATCAGCTTGTTGTACTTACCAGTTCTTTTCAAAGTGTTGAGCTCTGATCAAAGAGGTGGCCATGTCAGACAAGTCACGCACTCTTTCGTCCTGAGCGAGTAACGTTTTATCCATGTCTTCATGTTTCTTTAACAATCTTTCGACGTCATCAACGGTTGCCTAATAAAGATTTAACTGCCCTTATTGAGATTTCATTTAGTTATCTCAAGAACGGTTGCCTTAAATAATACCCCAGGAGGAGGGGGGCTTATTGGAAAAGGGCGGACAGAGATATTCGTTGTACCTTTTAGGATTTTGGGATTTCAGACCTCACTGCGATTCGGTACCTATTAGGGTGACACAAAATTAAAAGGACAACCAGAGAGTAATCCGGTACCTTTTAGGGTGTTTCTCAGGTAATACGATACCTGAGATCACATGAAATGACAGCCAGAATGGCAGTTGTTTTGGGTTCATAATCCGATTTCTATCACCTACATGATATATTGGTACCTTTTAGGGGTAAAAAAAAAACATGCCGCGCCCACCTGAACTAGACTTAGGTACCTTTGAGGGAACACTTTCAAAATTTCCGACGAGCATCCCCGCCCTTCTATCTATGGGATTAGCTTTCCGGGCTRAATTCTACAAAGGGAATGGTGCTTAAATAATGGAATGAAACATTACTCACCCCAAGGTCTTTGTTAGCAAAGTATGCTTCATGGGATGCAGTAGCGGCATCCAAGTGTTCAGCGTCACGAATAAAAACCTAAAATGATCAAAAACATTCCTTTGAATACATTGTCAGTCTCCAAGCTACATCAAGGACGTCCTTATTAATAAATAATAATGGGACGTCCTCATATGTCGTGCATTACTCGTGCGTCTCAATTCGCTTTATAATCTTTAATTTTCAGTGGAGGACTTTACTGGCTGCTAGACCGAAGCACCATTATTGCAAAGGCAGCACTTTATCAGTTATTTTAACACCCTGGGTGTTGTTCCGGCCGCACAACAGATCGATGCTCCACCAATTGAGCGGTTAAAGGACGTCCCTCAACTTTATGTTCCTGAAAGTACCTAGTAGATTTTCAAATGCAGTTTTATAATAATCTCCATGCGTGCTGCTTTTAAATCTTACCTGTAAATCTTGTGCCTGTTGTAAGCGATCATTTCGTTCGGCCCAACACCTGCTGAGCTTGTCCTTTGCTTCGTTCAAAGATGCTACATTCTGTTTGACTTTCACAGCCCGTGGATTTGCAGATAGGAGTTTCTGGGAGTAATCATTTAGACGGTCAAACCTAAATGACAAAGGAATATAACAGCTAAGCAGTTTTCTTTCTTGACTATAACATTATAAACAAATAACCAGATGTGTAGCGAGGTCTTGGTTAAAAGGAGGAGGTACAATGAACCATTTTCCCGCCAATACACACGCTTGCAATTTTCCCGCCAAATAAACCGGTGTAGTGCAACCGGCCAAACCTTCAGTCTCACCTGTCATAATATGTTTGGATGTCTTCAATACAATCATTTCATTGTGTTGTGGAATAAAACTATCGATGACAACAAGTACTGACCCCTCCCCCCTCAATGTTACTGACCGAACATTCAGTCTCACCTGTCTAAATGCGTTTGGATGTCTTCAAGCATTTCATTGTGTTTTTGTGTCATTGCTTCAGCGCTGCTGATGTCATGCGGATCCTCTGCTGAATTGAGTGACTGTGTGACTTCATTTGCCCAGGACAACTACATATATAGGAGAACAAAACAATAATAGTACATTTTCTATTTGGTGGTAAGCAACCATTCTCAAGACACTTGAGGGACAAAGACATGGAGGTTATGTTAGTGCCATTAAGGAAAATGAGAAATCTTTTGTCTGATACCGCCAACATGGCCGTGTTAAAACATGGCACCCAAGTTGGAGGTGTCAACAAAGAAGGCTCATGAAAAATCTTTTGTACCTCCAACATGGGCGTGATGCAAAGACATAGGGATCATTCTGTCTAAGCTAAGGAGAAATATTTTGTTAAATACTGCCAAAATGACCATGATACAAGGACATGGCGGCCATGTTGGTGGTATCAACAATGGAAGCTAATGAGAAATATTTTGTCAAATACCGTCAACATAGCGGCGATGACATAACGTGCAAACAAAGATAGGYGAACCTTCCTTTGTTTGCATGTTTTACTTATTTTTTCAGTAAAGCATTAAAACAATATTCTTCTATCATTCCTGCAGTCTGCTTGTTTGGTGTTTAATTCATGTTGATAAAAACGGATGATCAAGTGGATCTTATTCTTCACTTCCTACTACTTACCAGATCTCTTGTGTCGGCCAAGAATCCTTGTTGCCCATACGCATCATCCAACACAGCTTTTCTTTGAGCTGCTTTCGTCTGAGAAAAAAAACACAAACAAGATAGAATCAGAACATATTAACAGTTTGATTTAGTTTGCGTACGATTTCGAATCAAATATCTACCTTCATAAAGAAAAATACTATAGACGCTATGCACCATCATGTTGCTGGTGTCCATAATACAGCTTGTACTGCCTGTGGTTAGATGGCAGAACAATTAAATCCCTTTGCTCTTGGGGTTGAATTGAGTTCTTTCTCGTGTAAAAAGATTGTATTGTTCGTGCCATCTAACATGGCTGCCATCACGTGATGGTGCAAAGCCTTTATTAGGAATTCCAATGTCAAGTTTAAAAATCTGGATCGAATTGTTATCGCAGTGCATTGTGGGACAGTTTTAGGTACGAAATAGACACCATCTTCGAAATCTTTCCCATAAAACATTCCCATAATGCACTGCAATCCCAACTTGACCCAGTTTGTTCCTCATCCTCGGAAAGCCTAAAAATTGATTTCTCTTTCGCAGGTCTTTCTTATTTACTATTTCCATTTCTAGAATCTCCATTTCATCTTATTGTTTCTTTTTTCATTTTCTATTTTGAGTTTTGATCACCATTGATTTATATCCCTGTTCTTATTCCCTATTCTTCTTCGCAGCTGTCTTCATTTTAGATCTCAGATTATCAAGTGAGGGCTCGTGAGCATCTGGGACCGAAACTATGACTACTGCAGGTGCCGGAGAATATATTTTTTCTTGATGATACTGTAATAATAATTCAATACCCTAGTATCATTTGTTGTTGTTTTTACCTTCAGTCCGTTCCATAGTCGAATAATCTCTTCTTCTCTCGCTTTTATTTGACGACCTTGACGAGGATGTTGGGAAACCAGCCTGCATAACGAAAACAGATATAAACAGAATGCTATCCCTTAAGGTATTAGGAGGGGATTTGATTCCCTATAGATCCTATCAGCGCTACCTCAAAATTTTTGCGAATTTTACAATATGTCTTGAACGCAAAAAAGTAGTTGGGTTCCTCCGAAATATTTGAGTAACAAAAACGGCTTCTTTAAAACGTTATAATGCATTCGGATTACATCAAATCGAACTGAAACTTTGGATAATAATAAATCACTAAATGATCTAAAGATTGTCTCAGATTTTTGTTTCTGTTAATTTAAGAAATATAGTCTATTTTGCGGTCACAACCACCGAAAACTAAAAAAAAAAAACGGGTAAAAACTGGGGCCAGTTGTTGCGCGCAATGCTGCGTTAGGTTTACTTACGATTGCGCTTGTGCTTTTAGTTTTGTTACTTTGTCCTCTACGGCTGCAAGGTCTCTCTCGACGCCCTGAAAAAGTTTATAAATCGTAAATTATTTATTTAAGATATGAATTACTGATATGAATAGCACATCTAGCGCATATGCAGTCTCGTAATTTAAGGCGAAAGTAAAGAAACAGAAAGAAATGCATTGATCATTGGCGGGTCAAGGGATCGAATCCGTGACCACATCGGAAAGCGGCAATACATTAGAAGCGCACACCACACACTAACCTGATGTCTCCTTTGTAACGCGCGCACCGTCTCAATATCCCTACCAACATCTTCATCATATAGCATGCCATCCTCTTTAATCCATGACCGCATTTCCTACACCACACACTAACCTGATGTCTCCTTTGTAACGCGCGCACCGTCTCAATATCCCGACCAACATCTTCATCATATAGCATTCCATCTTTCTCTTTAATCCATGACCGCATTTCATACACCACACACTAACCTGATGTCTCCTTTGCAACGCGCGCACCGTCTCAATATCCCTACCAACATCTTCATCATATAGCATTCCATCTTTCTCTTTAATCCATGACCGCATTTCCTCGCAAGAATTGAAAAATAATTCCACGCTGAAATGAAAATATTTTTCATGAATAATGACAGACTAAAATTAATGATAACTAGTTTCTTAAAGCATGAAGAAAGTCAGTGTTACATGTGTCCTTACCCGTGTTTTTCCTCGAGTTCCTCTTCTTTTTGTTGATTTAACTGCTGTAATCTTCCCCATCTAAAAAGTAAATATGCAAAAACGTTTAAATATATTTGGACTACGAAGTAAAACAAGTGTGTGAGGTCACAGGGGACCAAACTATGGACCTCTTGCTTAGCAGGCAGTACACTAACCAACCAAGCCACACTTGCTCCTTAAAACAAGTGTGTGAGGTCACTGAGGATCAAACTATGGAGTCTTGCTTAGTGAGCAGCACACTAACCAACCAAGCCACAATTAATCCTTAAAACAAGTGTGTGAGGTCAATGAGGATCAAACTATAGACCACTTGCTTAACAGGCAGCATACACTAACCAACCAAGCCACACTTGCTCCTTAAAACAAGTGTGTGAGGTCACCTCTTGCTTAGCATGCCGAATACCATATCTATATATCTAACCTTTCATTCAGTTCCTTTCTTCTTCTTTTCACATTCACAACATCATAGTGTCCATTATTGATCAGTTCATCTGCCAGGCGGTTGATTTCTGACATGGAGCTGTTTTTAGCCGAAACTTCGGTCTGAAAGCGCTGTGGAGTAAAAAGTAATTAAATATGAACTATATTTTACAGTCAATAGTCGAATAGTAACTACATCAGGTACCTCTAGGTTCTTGCGAATAGTTTGGATGATATCACCAGCTTGGAGAGAGTCTTTGGAGTTCAACTGCTTTTCCTTTGAACGTAAGAAACAGTAACGTGCTTAAAAATGACGTTTGTCCCAGACAGCGAATAGACCACATGGGTAAACGTGAGCCAGTCAGGACGACGGTACTAAAATTGTTAGTCATCCAATCAGGAAGACGGTACTAACCTTGTTAGTCATCCACACTATCAGGATGACGGTCGGTACTAACCTTTTTAGTCATCCAATCCGCATGACGGTACTAACCTTGATAGTCATCCAATCAGGATGACGGTACTAAAATTGTTAGTCATCCAATCAGGAAGACGGTAATAACCTTGTTAGTCATCCAATCAGGATGACGGTACTAACCTTGTTAGTCATCCACACGTCCATGTCATCACATTCACGACTAAAGTGGTAAAATTTGATGGCGTTCTCTAAATTCTGTTCCCGAATCTGGAATCGGAAGAAAAAAATGGAAACACATTCAAAATCCTAAAAATTGAGTAGAGGTACGAATTCGAAGCCATTCTCCTAATGGCTGACGGAGCGCACGAAAATTCGCCGCCCAGTCATATTTTGCAAGGCTGAGCAAGGCTGCTCATTCAAAATAAAGATGGATAGCGCGAATTCAGGTCAATGTGCTTTTACATCTTTTATTGTGAACTAATTGCCGGATGAACTTGTTTTAGTGCACTTGTCAGTCAATATGATAGTGGTGTATGGGTGGTTTGCAATTCCTACAAGRAACACTACATGGCGGTCATGTTGGTATTTATGACGAAGGAGACAAATGTGAATTTTTTCTGAATTAAGTCAAGATGCGAGTAATAGGTCGAAATTGTAGTCACTATGCGTAAAAAGAGAATCCAATCCAAACATTGCAATTCAGTCTGAGTGCACATATTCTAACCAAGTTCGTACTGGAAACAGGCAGCAGCTTTGGTTTAGAATACCGACTCAACGACAGCATTTCCATGGTTTTATTGAAGTTTGCTCAGCACCACAGAAGCGGCTGCAAAGATGAGATTTACATTAAGAAGTTATTGATCTTTACCTTGGATACTTCAAGAAGTCTGTTGTAGGTGTTAGTAAGTGTTATCTGCCGTACAGCTACGTTATCGCGATCAAAATGAGCTGTAAAATGACGCTTGAGACCTCGCTTTAGCTTGCCTGGATAAAACACAAGCAGAAAAAAATGTGTTTGAAACTTTACATTTTTCTCTGTCGGTATAATAAAAAGGACCATGATTAAATTTTTCTCCTTGATAGAATTCCTGTGGATTTGGCGGGAATTTTCGCGCCATATTWCGCGCGCGCGATCTCATGACGTCATACCTCTTCTTGGTGACCGAGGTGAAGCGGCAGTATTGGCGGGAACAGGTCTTTGTCTTTCCACAGATACCATCTTCTTGACTTTTCTTTTCACTTTAACAGTTTGTGGTACCATTACTTTTTGTTTGGTTGTTTTCTGGACAACACGAGGCTCGATTTCCTTAACGTATTTGGCGGGAACATAACCAGCTTCTTTGGTTTTTGTGCGTCTACAATCATTTTGAAAATCTAGCAATAAGATTGACTAAACTAAACAGTCATCATGCAGAGTAGTTTTACGGCAGACATGGCATTGGGCAAAACAATATCAATTTTCTCCTTTGGGAATTCGAAATGAAATTTCTAGTCATGCAAAAACATTGATTTAATTGTTCCTGTCGTAAAACATTAGACAGTAAAACAATAGCGAAAGTCGTTTTCGTAAAATATTCGGTACGATATTCATTTTTAGTGAATATCTTCCGCGTCCTTACCTTACACTCCACCAGTCCTTATTTGTCTTGTTAATCAAATATAGGGCCTAAAAACAGTAAAAAGACTCGGCTTAAAAAACGGGTCCAATGAAACACTTGATCTTCAAAAATTCAAGAGTATATCCCTACTAGCAGAGTCTTGCCTAGTGAAAAAAAAACATTTCGCTACCTAAGGGACACTCTGCTAGAGGCGAAGGCGCTCATAACTCATAACCGGGGAGGGGGGGGGGGTGGACTTACACCTATTCAAGAAACGTTGTCATCGCTAAAGGCAAAAGGCGATCGTTTTGTCATTCTGACATGGAAATGGTTTCGTTGAATACAAAGAACATTGAATCAGTCTCAACAATAAGGTCCATGTTCTTGACGAGAATAAGAAACATTAACACACTGAAGTCATTCCAGCTATTCTTGGATCTTGGAGTGACATATCTCCCATCGCCTATCGCCTTTGGCGATGACAACGTTTTTTGAATTAGGTGTATAAATTAAATAAATTGTATTCCTTTACCTCCCCCTTTCTCCACTATCTAAGGGGGACTATGATTAATTGCATGCATAGAAAAAAAATTGGACCGAAGGATATTGTATTTGCGTTTGCATGCCCATCAGTGAATAATCTGGGGAGGGAGGGGGGGGGGGGGCGCTCAGATAACTGTGGGTAGCAATAAATGGGATTTTATTGCAATCATTTACAACCAGCTTACCTCCCCTTTTTCGACAGCGAGACCTTGACCACCTGCATAAGGGTACAACACTATCACCTGTGGGACCTTCACTTCCCGTACCACATCCTGTAAGATTTCTTTTTCGATCGTCTCTTCCACCTCTTCGTCTGTCTCTACTTCCATTTCCTCTGTGTATGACTCGTATGTTGGCTGAAGATTTCAGATAACATAAAAATAGTATTGTATTCTCGGTGATCTCACAATGTGAATGAGAGGAGAGGCAGGTCTGTTCTTTTCCAAAGAACCAAAACAGCTCAAGAGGGGTAGGGTGGATCGAACTTATTACCACAGGGATGAAAGAGCGCGCATTAGCTGAACTCACCCTGCATCCGCACTTCAAGAAAATAAAGACTAACCTGGGATTGAGCAGTAGCTTCCTTGCTAGATTCACCCATCAATTTGCTTTGTTCTTTAAGTCTTGAAATATCGTCTGCAAACGAGCTGATTTCTTCTTGTACTTGACGGTGACGTTGAAGAAGAGACTAGTGAGGTGAGAACAACAAAATTAAAGCAGTGCATCAATATCGTAAATAATCTTACAGCCCTTCTCAGTAGCACGCGTGGAATCGTCGCTGCGACAAAGTAGGTTTTTTTCGTAATCTCCCTACTAACTATGGAGCCTCTCTATAGGACCGACAATAATGACGCAAAGAAAATACGAAAAGACAGACGAGTTTTAAATGCGCAAATGTTATTATCAATACTGTAGTATTAGCGCTAAAATTTCCAAATCAGATTTTWAAAAAATGCTTATCTGGCGATATAATTATAGAACAATAAATGGATGAATACATTTATCCAAACTGACGTGCGCTGTGGTTTAACTAACGTGGGCTCCCTGTGGCCCAGTACTCACCGTTGCGCTCTGTTCATCGCGACCGTAATCGTCACTTTTTACTACTGATAGCTTCTCTTTCATCCAAGATTCCGCATCGTTTGCATCTGAATAGTACTGAGACAAAAAGACATAAATAAATATAATTAAAATGAAAGGCGTAGATAATAAAGGGGGGGAGGGGGATAGTAATAGTAGCAAAAACGCAAGCAACAACAGAGCAGCAGCAGCAGCAACAGCAGCAGCAACAACGACAGGAGCAAAAGCAACGAAAGAAAAGCAAAACGAATAACAGCAACAGCAGCAGCAATATTAACAGCGCTAGCAGCATCAACAGCAACGACCACAGCAGCAACAATAAAAACAACAGAAAAAAACCCAATAGCAACAATAATAGGAACACAACAGCAACAACTAACAGCAGCAATAACAAAAGTTGCAGCAACATCAACAGCATTATTAACAGCAGCAACGACAGCAGCAACAGCAACAGCTTAACAGCAGTAACAACAGCAATAAACTCAACAGCAACAACTTAACAGCAGCAACAACAGTAACAATAACAGCAAGAGCAACGACAACAACAGCTAGCAAGGGCAGCGATAACTATCAGGAAAAGAATAGTTTAATAAATACCTGAAGGGATTGAGCTGCATCTTTCAATCGTTCTCTTCTATTTTGAGACAACTCTTTCACACGTATCCAGTTCCCCTGAACTTGTTTAATCTTTGCCTTGATCTCCTTGGAAGCGAAGTGTTCTTTATCGATCAATGACTGACCTCGGGCACAAACCTGCTCGCAATGCGCTAAACGTCCACTGATCTCCGCATCAAGGGCCTAAGAAAATGCAAACAAATTTTGGATGTTTTTATTTGCCCAACAATTATACCAGATAAGCCGTCTCGATGTGAAACACCACCTTATAGTGTTTGAGCGGTTTGCGTGTTCCAGTGACCCCTAGAGCTATGCCGGCGGGAGTCGTGTACTCCTGGAAGGGTCACTTATGCCGGACAGGTCAAAGGGTAGGGGCCAGACGAAGAGTGATCCCACTGGTCCTCCAGGTTGGTGGTTGGGCTTAGGGCTGTTAACCCGCTCTCATATAAAAAAGGGTTATTACAGAACCAAGGTCCTATGTGGCATGAGGCGCGAGTAGGATAGGTACCAAGTGGGATAAGGGCACCGATGAGTTGATGTGATGGGGTTCAATCGACGATCTTTAGTTGATACTGAAATGCGTGTACTTGTCTTACCTCGTGTCTTTGCTGAAACCTAGTTAAACTGGCGAGGTCTTTCCCGACTTCTTTAGAAGATGCTAATTGTTCGGTTTCTTTGATAAATATATCTTCTTCCTCCAAGTCTCCAAAGAATTTGTAGAGCTTGAGTGAATCTTCCAGCCTAGCTCTTCGTTCTTTTCCTAGTTGGACTAATGCCTAGAAAAACCCGCGCAGCAAAGTATGATTAGACAATTTACGTGCACAGACTAGATACTCACATGTGCATGTATAAGATTTGGAAGCCCTTTACAACTTGGTCAAAATCCAACTAGAAGTAGTCTATCAGCAATGCTGCGTTCTGATTGGATGAGCTACTACTAGGCTATAAGTTATATCCCACTAGTAGCAAAAAGTGCCTGCTTTGAAAACCAAATTAAAACATCAACTCTAACTTTAAATATTAGGCCGACTAGTTGGATTTGACTAAAACAATTAGTTCTCTCGCCCTCATAACCTATAATTCAATAGCCCATTCGAGGTCGAGAACTACTGAATTGCTAAATTCTCTGATGAAACATAATTTTCACCCAATCAGAGAAAGCGAACGTAAAAAAATATATTATATATTTCTATGTCTAGTTTCTATGTTTGGTATAGAAAGATAGTGTCTAGTTTCTATATTTGGTATAGAAAGATAGTTTCAACGTCATAACTATTATGTTATTACCTGATAAGCTTGAGTAATGAGTTTTTGTCTTTCCTTGATCACTTTAGTCTCAGGATGATCAGCGTTCACAAACGCGAGCGCATGCACATTAATCTTCTGAATTCTCTCGCCTTGTGCTTGAATTTGGGATTCCAGGAGGCTGTGCTTTTGGAGGATGTTCTCAACGTCAAGAAGATGGCGGCCGTAGTCCTCAGAACGAAGACCGGTCTATGAATTGAAATATTTACTCAGCAAAGGAATGTTTGCTGCATGAGGTTGAGCGAGTYGGAATGACAACTCGACCCAGGTTTTTCTCAACCTCAGAATGGCTAATGCCGCTGTGTTCATTAATTGCGAACTCAGAAACCCATTGAAGAGACAGGTTTGTGGGAAGGCAGTTACAAGGTTTTCCTGTTTTCCTCCTTCCGCAAACCCAATGTGCTAAATTGCGATTCGATCTGTGAGTTAGGCGTGCCATGACTTAGAACAGCCCAGAGGTTGTTTCAGGGWTCGATCTGTGAGTTAGGCSTGYYMTGACTTAGAWCAGCCMAGRGGTTGTTTCAGGGTTCGATMTGTGAGTTAGGCCTGTTCTGACTTAGATCAGCCAAGAGGTTGTTTCAGGGTTCGATATGTGAGTTAGGCCTGTCCTGACTTTAGAACAGCCAAGAGGTTGTTTCAGGGTTCGATCTGTGAGTTAGGCGTGCCCTGACTTAGATCAGCCAAGAGGTTGTTTCAGGGTTCGATATGTGAGTTAGGCGTGCCCAGTAGAGGGCACTGGCCGATTCGGGGACAAAATGGTTGTTTCAGGGTTCGATATGTGAGTTAGGCGTGCCCAGTAGAGGGCACTGGCCGATTCGGGGACAAAATTCTCTATTAGATTTTTCGACTGGTTTTTTGGAGTAATAACACCTGATTAAAATAGTGTCTGGTTTTTTGAGGCTAAGACTCCCGATTAAAATAGTGCCTGGGTTTATTGATGAATTATGAAGATTTTTATATTGGAGGAATGATTATATARRAATGGCTTAAAGAAATAAATCTTTAGTATATTATAAAGAAATGTGTTTTAATTGTTTAAGGGATGGTGATATGACGAATGATGTTCAAGAAGTTTATTATAGATTGAAAATTAGGGAGAATATTGCTAAAAATATGCGTGAAGCGATTAGGGTTTTAAGAGAAAATGTAGATAAACATGGGTATAACGTTTATATTTTACGTGATTATAAATTAGACCACGATTTCGATGTACATTTAGAGGTTCAACAAAGTAAAATTCTTATTAGGATAGATAGTCCGAGGGTTTTAAATGAAGAAGGAGCTGTCGAGAATATTTACATGAAGCTAACTTGTAAACGATGTACTCGGAATAATAAAGTTGAAAGACATTTTACTCGGGATAATAATTTTGAAATACCTTTATCGATTGATATATGAATTTCGGCTTAAAAAAATAAAACGTATTAAAATTATGACTGAAGAAATGCAAAATAGAATTATTATTAGTGGAAAATCATATAATATGCACCCCGTTTATGATAGGTATTCTGGTAGTGAAGATGGGGTTATTTTTAGCATAATTAGGATGAAAACCATGAAAGAGATAATTGGGGGTAATGGATATTCACGAGTAGCTGTTAGGAAGAATGGGGAAACTGTTCAAAAATYATATTATTCRCACCGATTTATATGGGAATGTTATAATGGGTTGATCGAAGATGGTAAAGTCATTGATCATATCAATAATGATAGAAAAGATAACCGATTGTGTAATTTRCAACTAGTAACRCAACAACAGAATTGTCTGAAATCTGCTGCGARTAGAGATTATTCATTYGTTAAGAATAATCATAGAAATAAGAAATACGTTAAAGCTATCAATGTCGATAAGGATGATGAAGAATCGTTTTACGGTAGCATGTATGCAGTGCAACAGCATTTAGGGGTAAATGTCGGGATCGTAAAGATGGTGTGTGAAGGATTAAATAATTGTAAATCAGGCATTTCTAAAGTGGATAAACATAGATATAAATTCGAGTATATCGAAAGAGAGCAATTGCCAGAAGGATATAATAAGTCTGCCAACAAACGTCCAAGAAAGAAGAATGCTAATAGTCAGAAATGATTTGTATATTTGACTATCGTATGATAGTAAAGACATCATAATATTTATAATGTAATTATTAGGGACATTATAAATAGATAGTCATTACTTTAAACCATTTTTGGTTAGCGGAACATATACCAAGATAGGTCAGCAACGACGGTAGTAATACCTGTTAGGTTCGATAGATGGGGTTGGTTTTATGTCAGGTTTATTGATCAATTATGTAATTTGGATAATTTACGAACTAAATGACATGATATCGTAAGAGTTTTTAATAATTTTGTTTGTAACTAACCACGAGACTAAACTCGTTACCCTTGATCGTTCCAGAGCTTTGATGGACACCCACATTAATTAATCTTATATTTTCGTAATTATCGATATTTTTCAAATAATATTTTTCGAATATCGAGTAATTATGTGTAATACCTGAGTTATCATTTATTTGTAAATCTGTATAATTTGATATGTTCATAGTAAAGAAATTAGTTTCAATTTTAGTATTATCGTTGAACACGCATTGTAGTATGAATTTTAAATCAGAATTAGAATCCAAACCCCCACCATCATTATCAGTACCTAGTGATACAACCAAAATTCTAGATGTGATGTTTGGTGTCACATGCATACAAAAACCGTTAATATCCCCAGCTGTAAGCGCGCCAGGATACCTAATAGTACTTCTAAGTCCTAAATACGTCCATTCTCGCCAAAAGTTTAGTTTATTATCTATTTTTTCAATTATTTGATTTGAGTTGAGATCGCTAGTTATTACCATATATATTAGCATACATTTTTTATTCTTATATGCAGCTTAACATATTATCTAAACATATACCAMGCTAAACCAGCAACGACAACAGTAATAGCTGTTAGGTTAGTATCATGTGTTTGTGATGTTTTTGTAGGTTTTATGATTGGTTTATCCGGCGTACTAGGTTTATTGGTTGTATCTGGCTTTTTATTATTAGTTTCTGGTTTATTGGTTGTATCTGGCTTTTTATCGTTAGTTTCTGGTTTATCAACCTGGTGTGGTAGTTTTGTCTTTGAGCCACCCATATTATGCTTTTTTATACCGGCTGATTTAGTCTCATTATTTATATCATTTACACCGAAACTCATATCGTTTGTAGCCCTTTGTAATTTATTATTGTACCCAACAGTTGATTCAGTATTTATGATTAAAGTAGACGGTAATAACCAACAGCCTGGTGATATAGCTAAATCGAGCTTTACTTTTGCTTCTTGAATAGCAAACTGGTATCTCTGAATGCTTTTAGAAATATCTTTTTCGATTATAGAGTCTCTAAAAAGTTTTAAGAACACATCTTGAGTTTCTTTGGCCGAACCTGAATCGCCAATGATTGATGATCTAGTATTGACCTGTGAGCCTAGCACGCAATAAACGAATGCTTCAATACTTTGGTTCAATCGTGACAATCCTGCTTTCGTGATACCATGGCCCTTCTGAGGTATAAACCAATTATATTGACTACGATCTTTGTGGGTAGATGTATAATATGCTGTCAAGCTATCTTTATAGGGGCTTCTATAATGGAAATTGAACATGTCTTCTTCTGTGGATTTACCTTTGAATCTGAAATCTGGGTTTGATGAATCGATACCAAACTCGTTGCATAATGACATTAAAGCGCTCTTATCATATCTAGTACCATTCCATACGAACGTGTTATCCCATGGTAGTGGAACTTTTAGATCGTTTAGGATGCATCTGATCGTATATACTACATGGAATTTTAGGATAGATCCGATTTGAGTATCAGGCTCTATGATATGATAGCTAATCCCACATCCACTAGTTGCACACCAGCAAGCGAAATTTAGCTGTTGAGACCAGTATTTGAAATTCGGCTCCTCAATCCATGCAGTGTAATCACTTACATTTTGTACTACCGGTGGTGTCAATTGAAAGACATTGTTAAGAGGAACGGAGAAGCTTTTCGAGGAAGTAACATATATTTTTAGCGGGTTTAGAATTTTATTAACATCATCTGCTTTATCATATATATCGACAGCTGGAATTGGATAGTTTTTGTTAGTAGGCATGACCTCCTTTGGGAATTTATTCATCTATTATAATATATTATAAGAGATAAACTTTTATACGTTTATGTTTTTGTCATACCTTACCTTATACATATACCCTCCAAACGGATCTCTGTTGAATGAAAGAGTTATTTCTTTTGATTTACGAGTTGGTTTACAAGCTCCTTTTTCAATTCCTCTCTCAACTTGTTCACATCCACATCGTTTTTTAAAAGATTTTCGTTTTTCTTACGCCGGATACTTGATTTGAGTTTTTCATATTTAGTTAGCTCAGTCATTATAAGTTCGAATTCTTTCTCGTCTATATGATTGTTGTGTAATGCTTTTGACACGAGATCATTTATACTATTTTCCTTTGATTTGATGAGTTGAATAGTCTTTTCATGTTTCGAGATTTTCTTAGTCAGTTTCTTAGTCATAACACCACAACCAGCTGAAACCAATCCAAGGATACCTCCAACAGCGCTGAGAGGTACACCAACTACAACACCAGGACCTGTCAAACTTGTCCCAATCCCTGAAGCTGTTAGTATACCACTGAGGGTTCCTGTCGTTATTGCTGTTCCATGGAATGCTGATCTTAATCTTGTGTACTTCTTTCTAACATGTTCATAATGTCTATACTCCACACCTAGTTGAGATAAGACCATGTTTACTTTATGCAGTCTAAAGTTATCACCATTTTCTAATGAATTTTTTGGTAATTTAGGGTAAATTTCCTCTGTGATTATATCTTGATTTGACATGTATATAATATAGTATTATACTATATTCATTTATATGATTTCAATATCTAGATAGGTACTCTGAATATTTGTAAGTTTCTGCAAACTATTATCGACGATCGATATTGTTAATTGTGGTAAGATTTTGCACGCTAAATCGATATATGTCTTATGTATTGTTTCGAATACTATCTGATTATCGTTTCTTTTATTTATTAGTAGGAGTAACTTTGACTGTGTTCCATTGTAGAGTCTATCACTACTTATTTCTTGACATAATATACTAATTTCATCAGGTATTGAATTATTGGTGAAGTTTATGACAACAGAAACTAATGATATTTTTGAAACATTTTGTAGTGGTAAATCGATATACTGTATAAAATCATTTGGAGAATTTGTATTTTTTATTGTCAATAGAACCATTATAATATATACTCATTTTTTCTTTTTATACCTTTCTACGATATACAAAACGACAGCTACTATRAGGAGCCATGCATTCTTAGCAAGGAAGCCAACGACCTCCCCAGCTGTTCTAAATATGAAACTAGCTATTGCTCCAATCATACCAGGTAGTATTTGAGCTAGTTTCTTACCAATAGTTTTCAAACCATTACCAACACCCTTAGCAACACTAGTTAAACCAGCTTTCAAACTATTAATTATAACACCAATGATAGTGCCAACAGCTAGAGCAATACCTGTAATTGTAAGACCATAACGTTTTATTATTTGTTTTATACGTTCTCTTAATGGCAATTTTTCATTGATTTCACTGATTATATCTTCCTGCATTTCTGAATTAGTTTCGAGTTCGTCTTCATTGACCCTCAAAGCATCGAGTCTTCCTTGGATTTCCTTATCTTTTTCCAACCCTTTCTCATAATCACTTTTTAATTGTTTTAACTCAGTTGGATTAACTTCTTGATTATCCATCTGTTCCACCAGCATATTTAAATTAGAAGCGTTTTCCTGATATTGTATCTCTATTAAATCTATATTTGTACGAACTTTATCCAGTTTTTCCCTAGTTTTCTTTAGTGCTGCTTCAGCATCAGCCCTTCGATCGAAATTAGATTCACCTAAATCGTTTATAATTTCTTTAGTTAATTGAGAAACAGCCCCTCTATAACTTTTCGTGTAAAAATCTCCAGATTTAGTATGTAATTTCCTCCATTTTTCATTATTCCTTTTTATTGAGATAATACCGTTCTCCTCTTTAAGATCATATCCATTTTCCCTAGTTATTTTATTGTTCTCGAACCATGAGTCTATATTTCGTTTGATTTTATTATAACGGGTTAAATGTTCTCTACTCCAACCCAATGATTTTTTTACCTGTTGAGGTAAACTATTATCATCTTGGGTTAGTTCAACCCAATCTTCTTTTATTGGTCTATACACATCTAAACCATTATCACCCACTCGAAAATATTTGAATAATTTATCACGATCACCATCATATCTAAACTCTGGATATCTATGACTTATTTCAGTAGCCAGCACGACAGCATATTGTTTGCTATCCTCTTTTTCCTCCATATCACCAAGCTCCATATAGACTGGAAGATTCTTTCCTTTGTTTTTGGTTTTAAAAATATCATTGATACGTTTGATTCCATACCTATAATATTTCCCAAATTTTTGTTTCATTCTAGAAAAGAATTTTAAATTATCTTCACCATCCTGAGGTATTAATTGATCATATTCATCATCAATTACATCATTAACATCAGCCTTACCCTCTTCAGTTAATGGATCAAAGTCGAGTCCGCCTTCAGCCATCTAATATATATTAATATACTAAATAGTTTTTTATACCTATTTACAAGAATTTCGACGCTAAATAACCAACGCCTAACATACCACCACCAACATAAATCATCTCATATTGTTTCTGTTTATTACTCGGTTTATAATAATTACTAAACTTTGGTTCATCCTCAATATCGAATTTAGCATCTGGGTGAGCTTTGCTATATAGTTTGAACGCCATATCTGTATTGTTTAAGACTTCATCAGCGTTTTTCTTATCGATATACTCCTTATTTAACCAGTCTTGGTATGCCTGTCTTTTCTTTTCGTACTCGCCCATTTGTCTTTGGTATTCTTCTAGAGCCTTGTCATGTCTTTTCTTCTCTTCATCRACTCTAGATGAACTCCCATCGAGTGTCTTAGCTAGATAAGAACCACCCACAAATGCTGTAGCGTTTAATACAGC